TTGACTGTAAAAATCCATGGGGTATTTGAAGCGACAGTGCTCAACCATCGTTCTGGCGGAAGAATTAAATTTTAGAGCTAGTATACTTTTTGGAAATGAGACAAAACCCTTTCGAACGATAGATGACATGTAGGAACTTAATCTAGCAGCGAAATTCGTAGAAAAGGCGGACACTACTTATGGACAGCCTAATATTTTGATTCTGGGCCAATCGCACGCTCTAACACCGCTCATTTTCTCCCTCCAAAAAAGCTGTCGAGCAAAGGAAGGGGCCGACGGACGGGGGGGGGAGGGATAACATGATCGCTTTCCATATAAATTGCGCAAATTCTCAAATACAAGCGTCCGTCTAATTTTTGTATATTTCACGCTTTCTTCAACTGAAGTTATTACGTTTGCCAAGGCCGTAAAAAAAGTCATAACCAACCCTTCTGTCAAGCACCACAACCCCTTCAACTACTGCAAGTAAAACTCCTGTTCGCACCTTCCCAAAAGACTGGATCTTAACCTTGGTCAACCCCTAATAAGACCCCCTCCGAAAAATTCCAATAAGACCTCTGTTGGGAATTACACAATGGGCAGTTGAAGCTGGTCTCAGCCAAGGTCAATCGTCCGTTAATCCAGTTCCATAAATTTGAGGACTCCCCCTTTTAGACTAGGCTCAATACACCATCACCATCAACCTTAGGACGTCCCTGATATGACCCTCTCTCTCCCCTGCCCGACTACCACTCCTCACCATTATGGCTGTGTCTTTAGATTTGATTCTGAGGTCCAAAACGATCGTCGAGATACTAGACCCCCCCCTCCCTCCACGACCCGTAAACTTTCCAAAATACGACACCCTTCCTCAACCTTTTGACCTTCATCAACCACAAATACGATCCCCATCTCCAAAAATCAAATACGACTGATCCGCCGAGAACTGGGCAACGCACGGTGACCCTGGTCCGAACCATGGATAGGAGATAGTTTGTGGAATAGGGGCCTTCGTGGAGTGCCGATCGAGACGAAGTATCTTAGGTCGCTGACGACGACGAAACGCTCATAGCCGCAGGCTATAAGCTGAGCGTCAAGCACCATTCAGCGTGATTAAAAGAGTTCAACCATGAGCCGCCGGCACATGCTAATCGCACCAAATCGCACTCATAGCCCATTTGCACACCCTTCGTTGCCGGTGACGCAGAGTGGGCTGCCTGGCGTCTCTGCGCTCTGAGCCGGGCGTCGGCAGCTCTCGACGGGGCAGACTGGGCGAGGCCGACTGGCTGTCTCTCGCCGTTCGAGGCCGCCGCCCGGTTCAGGACACCTCCTTCTCGAGAGGAGGAGCAGAAAGGAGGAGGGCGCGGAAGGGGACACGAAAACGACGACAAGGACGAAGCTGTGGTGCCGCCTCACATCGAACTCACCACACATTGCTATCTGACGGCCTAAGGGGCAGGCATGTGCCCTTCTTATGTTTATTTTTCGCTTTTGTCCATTCTCTTTTGCCGTTGTCCGAATCGGTTAATTTTCCGTATCGAACTCTTTTTTTTTAATTCGTCGCTGGCAATTTTCATGATGCATTTACTTGTGCAATGGACATGCCGCTTGTGGTTGCTCTACTGGTGCTTGCTCGAACCCTTTCATTTTTTTGTTCTTTTTCCTATTTTATTGTTATTTATGGAAAACGGTTTTTACTTATTAATTTATCGAGGCGGAAGTGGTGTAGTGGCAAGTGGCACGCTTACCACGCGAGCGGTCCGGGGATCAAATCCTGGGTCGTGAGTCGCCCGGGCCAACCAAGCCTTCCATCCCTCCGGGGTCGGTTAATTGGTACCAGACTTGTCTGGGAGGATAAAAACACTGACTTGTACATCGGCTGGCCCCGCAAGTCATTGTATAGGCCACATCGCATTCAAACGCCACTACGAATGTACAAATGGAAGTAGAATGCGTGCCGCATCCCAAAAAGGGATTGATCAACGGCAAATGCTTTATCCTTTTATCCTTTAATTTTCCACGAGTTTCTTCATTGCTCACAAAAATGTCCTTGATCCACCGTTAGCCGTCCAAGATTCGCCGTTAGCTTAGCGCAGATGCACGACCCTCATCGTCGCCCTCTGCTCCGACGGCCTGCCCTCAATCACTGACGAGGTCATATCGAATCTCATGGGCGTCGAATGGCGGCAATTGTTTCGTTGACTCACGCTGAAGACAGCGTACTAAGCCGATGAAGCCATTGCCTCGGTTGAATTGCTGCAGCTACCGCATTTCGACATCAATTTGCAGCGTAGGCGTATCCCACATTCTTTCCTCGATGCGGTTCTGACCCACATTTGGCCTGCCTGGCTGGACCGGACAGCGGCTGTGTAACTGAAAAACCGCGAAATGAAATGATCCTAATCAATTCCTGCTAAATACCCTCACACTCGACATTAAGTGCATGGAACTCTTCCAAATTTAGCAGCGACGCTCATTTCTTTTGTCGGCTCGTATGTGTTCTGTTTGGCCATGATTTTCGGCATTACGCTCTACTGTAGCCTTTCGTAATATCAGCAGCTCATTGAATTTCTGACTAACACGGCTCCTGAGCCTGCTAAGTAGGAATCGATTATTCAAGAAATTCTCGACACAGTCGCCCAAATGGGGGTGTGATGGTTTTGCACGTCAGGCCTTCAACTATTCATCGTGCACGCACCACAACATCGCTGTCGTCCTTAGAAGTCGACACCTTCTCAGTATTGATCAAAGGTGAAAAATTTGTAGAAGGCAGTGGCTCTCAAAAAATTAGGGATCTGTGATGTGGTGCTGCAACAGTTACATTTTCACTCGGTAAGGCTTCTGTGCCGTAGCCAATTCACTAGCCGAAAATAATCTCGTCTCAACGCATGTGTTAGGTTTACACTAATGCCAGTTCCGATTATTCATCGTTCAAGATTCGAAACATTTCGACTATTGTCAGGAAGCTCCAGTCAATTAGTGAAAGGCTACCTCGATTGTCTGTTCGAATGCGCCTTACATGGCGCCAGTGGTCTCGTGCAGAAACCCTTGATTTTGCCTCTTGCTTGTGTGAGGGTAGATGCAAGTCGATATTGCTAGTTTTTTAAGATCGCGCAATGTCACCTGGACTTGTTTGTACTCGTTGTGACTTGTGGCGTGTGAAACTTCATCTCTGATCTGTGACTCATTGTGTCAACGTTGCACACTCACGTTTCTTTTTGGCCTTCACTATCGTCAAATGTGACGTGTAGGCGTGGCGCGATTACATTATCAGAATTTTGATTTCAGACTGATGAGTGATCGGATATTAGCGTAAAGAAGCGTCGCGACGTTACGACGACCACGACGGCTACAACGGTGACGGCGACCAAGAAGAGGAATAACGATGCGTATTCGCGATTGGTTCTTCACCTATCTTGTACAAATCTCTATATCATGGAATCTGGTACTCAGCTACTGTGTCATGTACGATGTCTGTCATATGGAACGATCAAGCCCGATGAATTGCCGCGCAGACGGGAACTTCACGGCTCTTCCTATTCAATCCCTATCCGATGATGCCGCCAAAAAGCTCGAATACATTTGTCCTCACTTATTAGGAGGTAATCATCCAAGCCTTTTGGTTTTTGTATCTTTTGAACGCGTATGCTTGTCATGTTTCTCCATTGCCAGCGTGCACGTCTTACTTGAAATCTGCACGTTAACCTACAAGAGAGCCTCTTAACATTGCAAGGTCTGGATAGACTTTCGTATTTTCATTTGAAGTCGCTTATCAGCTGTTTTTACACTTTGGCCAGAGAACAGCGCGTGCTTATGATAAAAAGGATATTGATTCACGCGCGCGCCCAATCAATACAATCATCTCGACACACACAAGTAAATGGGGCGGACTGGTCGTCAAAAGAATTCAAGCATTTGTGATTTTTTTTCTTTCTTACTTGTCCTCTAGTGGTGTCGCTCATATCATTAATGGCCCTGAGTTACTTGCAGGTAATGATGGTGTTTGTTGTTCTTCGGCTCAAGTACTTGCAATGAGCAAGCAGTTACGTCAAGCTGGTAGTTTACTTGAACGATGCCTTCATCATGTTATGATAACTTTCAAAAGTTATGGTGTGAATTCACCTGTTCACATCGACAACACGCGTTTATAGAGGTGAGCCTTTCGATATGGTTGTTAAGGTGACTTCCTCGCATTTCGCAGCGCGAAACATTTTTTCGCTGGGGGAGCTCCAGGTCCACCCATGGTCCACGGTGCACCCTGATGCTGGCTCGCCTGCGAGAAATGTTGATCGCCTTGCTGTGAACCACGAAAGCTTTCTGTTCCGTATTACACCTTGCTTGCAATTTTTCCGTTGTTTCTAAATTTCGTTCAACTCTGAGCTTTTTACGTTGCAGGGTAATGGTCAGGACTTCTTTGATCTCATGTTACCATTTTGTTATCAGTAATGAAATGAGTAATATCACGTAAGAACAGCTGCTTGCTTCGGGTCTGTTGATGAGCAATGATAACTAGTCGCATGGCGAATGATCGCTGATCTTTGCGCTTGTAAACGTACCAAAAACCAAAGAGGCCGAATGGCTACATCTAATCGAGGAACTGCTCAATTGCGGGGGATTTTGAAAAAAAAAATGATTTCACGACACTTATCTGCCCACTTATTACTGGAACATCTGCTTCTTTCAGATTTTGCAAGAGCTTGACGTCCCGGAAGCAAATATATCATACGTTAATAAAGTGCGATATAATGTTAGCAAGGAATTTTCAGATGCATTGTACAATTCATGCAAAGACGTAAGTACTATTTCTTGTATGCCGTTCATTTTGCCCATGTTTTTCTCATCGTTTTTTACATTGATGGCTTATTGGCGTGGGTGAACGCGGCGAAGTTGTGTTGTTGCATTCTACAATAGCACGCTTCTTCAGAAGAAAGGGATTGCTCAATGATTCCGAAAAATTAAGGTTTCAATGACGGGAAGTGCCACTAAGGCGATTCGCTTGATGTGCGGCAGTCTGAAAAAGAATGAAGAGTGTACTCGTAATAACTTCGTTGAAGTTCATGGGAACTCAGAATCATCGAATCGGCATCCCTCTTGGGATTGATTTCAACCTTATCGATCCAAAGGTGAGTACTTTCCGATCCGTTCATTTTTCTGTTTCTTCCTACATTCATGACTTGTTAATCGATTCTCGCTGGAAGGAAACATGTGCATCAGTGAGCCTTTAGCTACTGTTTATGTGACTCATATTCCGATGTGTTTTCTTCCCGGTGACGTAGTCGTCGGAATAAATGGATCGATTTTCGCGAGCATGGGGTGCTGATCGCTTAGTTTTAATTTTGCATGTGAGTGAGTGCCGCTGTAAATTGCAGTCAGTAGAAGGAATGGTTAGCTCATGCTTGTAAACTTCAGTTCTTCACTCTGGCAATATCATTCCAGCAGTCGATCCAGATTTCGATTGAATAACAAAACAGTGCATTGAAAGTGCAGCGGCTAGTAAACCGATTTGATGAACTTGTCGGTGGATATCCCTTCTTTAGCACTGAGAACTGCTTTTCAAAAATCTTACTCGAATTGCCGGAAGTATTCTTGACATGAACATCTCAGCAGACGAAGGTACACTGTGCGCTTTAATACGTCTAGTTATTGCATATTTAAGGAGGAGTCTGGCACCGGATTGGATTACTTCATGACGGTTCCAACTACGCCATGTCATATGTCACCACGATATGGTCGCGACAAATGCTCAAGGCAGGACTGTGCTGCTGTGCAGGTTGTAGATCTGTTTCCCAGAGATGAGGGCACTAAGGTAATTCTTTCGTAATCATGGTTTTTTTTTTTGTTCAGTAATCAATCTAGGTAGTGTTCAGGGCTTTTATGAGATTTTTTGCCACACGATTTTTTTGACATGCATTATGAATTGAACATTATTTTTGAACATTCTCCTCATGTCTATTTTTCTCCTGTAAATGATCTTTCCCTCCAAGTTTTGGACGCTTTAGTTCAACGTTGTCAGTTCGTGAAATGATTTGTTGTTGAGTCTTGCTCACTACGTACTCCCTAAGGAGACCGATGTTTTTCACGACAACCGCCTGCTCTTTTGACTTTCTGATCGAATTTGTCTGACTAGCGAGGAATTTGCCGACGGGAAGATGCACAGGAGATTCACAACACAAGTGCAGGGCTGCTGATACATGGTGCGGACGATGGAAGTGTTTGGTGTGGGGATGTAATGTGATCGATGCATGTGTGCTCATAAGAAGTTCTAAGCGCGTGTAATGGCATCCCTGGGCCACATTTCCGGTTCCGGAAATCTCTTCCTCGCGCTCGAATGTTTGTGCACGCAAGCAAAAGGCGTGAATTGCCGACTTTTCGGATGCGCTTGCAATCTTCAGATGAGGGATGGGAACTGATGAGGATCAGTGGAAACTCAGCATGAGAGTATTACGGGTTAGAAGGAATACTGGATCTATGATTGTAACGCGTAATTTCGAATCTTATAGCATACATTTCTTATTGTAACTCGCGTTATTACGGTGCCATTTCATTTTTCGAACTGTTCGTGTTCTCTCTCGCTTATCTTTGGTCGGCCATAGCTGTAACATCCTGGAACTTAAATAGTCATGACGCACTTGGTGAATAGTGCCAAAAGTCGGCCACAAAGTTCTTGCTAAATTTTGCACTTGGAGATTGTTCGAATTGAATCACATCTGGGAGGCGTTCTTTCATTACAACCAACTCAGCAAAGGAGGCATGAGCCATATTACAGGGAAAGGGCTCACAGAAAGATGGAAATGTCAGCGAAAAGAAAGAGCTGAGTCCCGATCTCCTATTCCATTGAAGTTCTGATTTGTGCCATCGGAGAATGCTTTTTTTCAACCTACACACTAGGCATTGTGCGGTTTTTGCGCACGGAAGCGCCCTGGGCGCTGGTGTTTTCAGGTGAGGGGGGGGGGGTATCGTTGTGCAGACTGAGCCTAGGGAGGGAAGGATTTTTGAAGAAGAGAAAATTGCCTACACACCACACCTCCCTGGTCCTTCTCAGTCTAGGGGGAGTAGGGATGGGGATGGCGAGTGTATGGACGCTCTGCACTGTACATAAGGCCGGTGTCAGACTTTGCGAATCCAGCGATTCGCTAGCGGATCGCGGGATACGGTGTTGCGTCAGTGAATCAAACTGTGTATCAGTGGCTCGGCATTGTTTGATAGTGGCGGGATTCAATTTTAAAATTGGCTCTCGCCATTTCCCGCCCCCCCAGGGGGGGGGGGGGGGGGGGGGGGACGAGGTCTCAGGAAGTTTAGCGAGAGTCAACTGCAGAGGGAGTCCCCGCCACCTTTCAAACTGTGTCGGAGTCGCTTTGACATGTTTTCGATTCCCGTTGGTGCAACGTACGTACCCCGCGATTCGCTGAGTCGCTGGATTCGCAAAGTCTGCTCTAATGATGTGCCTCTCAAATACACCAGCGCCACACCCTGTACTACATTCATGTAAAAGCAGTTAATATTACTATTGTAGCAGCAAGTTTTTTTTTTCAGGAAGTATATGTCAGGTGCTGGGAATGGGCTGTAAAGTATTTCTTCTTTTTGGATCGTTGTTCATATTTGCCGGTGTACTTATATTTATGGGTTTCCTGCATTTGTTTCATAGTACTAGTACCAGCGATTCTGAATTGGATCGAATGGACTACAAGGTAAGCAGTGTTGCTCACATGTAGCTACCTCTTAATTGCTGAATGTATTTC